GTATATCCATATTTAGGATTATCAGGTATTCCTGATGAATTGATCCTTGTACCATTATAAAATATGTCTTTTACTTTGTTAGTCAGTACTCCTTTTATTGAGATCTGTTTTGTCTGATACTTATAGTAGCTTCAGTTTTTAGCTCTCTTTAACTTACTGTTTGCATAGTATATCTTTTTCCATAATTTTACTTCCACTTCATCTGTTTATTCATACTTAAAGTACATCTTTTAGAGACAGAATATACTTGTGTCTTTTATTTAAAAATTAAATTGATCTCTTTGAATTGAAAATTTTAGTTTATTTACATTAAATATAATGATTGATATATATATGTATAATTCTGTTCTCTTTTTTTTTGTCCCGTCTATTTTGTTATTACTGGTGGTAGTCCTTCTTTTCTTGCCTACTTTTGACTTACTCAAATATTTTTTAGTATTCCATTTTAATTCTTCTGTTGGCCTCTTACACATGCCTGTGAATTGTTTTCAGTGCATTTTTTTCCAGTGGTTGGTCTAGAGAGTACAGATTGCATCCATATATTATTACATTTTACATGAGGCTAATCTCGTATCAGTTCAGATTAAGTGTAAGAATCTCTAAATTCCCCTGATGTGTGTGCTTCTGTTTTCACGTATACTTATATTTGCTTATGTTATAAGCTCTCCAGTATGGTGTTGTGATTTTTTTTAACAGTCATGTATTTTTTTAAAGAAGCCAAGAGATGAAAAAATATGTACTCTTCTATACTTACCCATGTATTTACTATTTACAGAGCTCTCTATTCTTTTGCATAGATTCAGCTTACCATCCATGGTCACTTCCCTTCAGTTGGAAAACTTTATTTTGCATTTTTTATAGTGTATATCTCTTCTGGCAGTGGATTCTCTCAGTTATTGTTAACCTAAAAAATAACTTTATTTTACCTTCTTTTTTCAAGAATATTTTCAATGCATGAAGAATGTTGGGCTGCATTTGTTTTTTTCTGTGCACTTCAGAACTCTTGCATTGTTCCCTGACCTCCATTGTGTCTAATAAAAGTGAGCTGTCATTTGTATTGTCATTCCTTTGTATATATTGTGTTGTTTTTCCCTGACTTCTTTTAAGGTGTTTTTTTCCCCCCTCTACACGACTTTCAGCAGTTTGATAAGGAAACAGGTATATAAAGGTTAAACAACTTGCCCAAGGATGCATAGCTATTGAGAAGAATTTCATGTCAATTGGTACTAAAGGCAGTGAAAATTCTATTATTATTTAGGAGTTGGAGTCTGGATCCATGGTTACAGACTTGAAGAGCTAATGGAACTATCGCCTGTAATTACTTTGAATATGGTGCACTTAGGAAAGCTCTGGGACCATGTTCAGAAAGAATGAAGGAATTCTAGGTCTACTGGATTGAGTGACAGCTTGAAGAAAGAAAATGAAAGGATCTGAATTTCAGCTAAAGATGAGGACTAAAACTTAATGGACATTCTATAATTAAACTAACATAATTTCTTGTACCTACTAGCCTTAGGGGCTGAGATTGTTGTTGATTTAAGTCACTGTTTAATCCGGCATGAGCTAAATTTGTGTTCTTGCCAGGTTTCCTATCCGAGAATTAAGCTATTGATCAGAAAGGAGTGAGTCAGTTATCCCAAATTATTTCTCAAAGAGTTTCTTCAAGGAAATCTTGTGCTTAACAGTGGTGCTTTGGCAACCCTAAGGAAAGGTGGAGTTTGGGGGAAATATTTGTTTGAGTGTTTTATAATCAGATTCTATAAAACATGTGCTATATAGTCTATTTTCATCTGTAAGATCCATATATGTACATTCTAAATAAGTTGGATGCCTCATACATAATTATGCTTAATGTTAGTTCTTATTTTTAAAAAGGATTTTGGAGGATATACTACCCTACCCTTTCCTTTTAGAGAGCGTGATAAGAAGGATTAATGTTTTAGAAGAGACCTCTGTCATCTCCTCTGCTCTCCGAGTACAGACACAGCCATAGCCACACTTTTCCTAGAACCTCCTACCTAGTTGGTAGAGTCAGCCAGAGAAATTCAGCCCTGCATCCTCAAATAGGCTGTGTTACACCAGGGGTCAGTCAACTACATCCTATGGGCAAAATCCAGTCTTCTGGGGTGTTTTTGTGAGATCATGAACTAAGAAAAGTTCTTGTATTTTTAAACACTGTTAAATAAATGGATATGCTACAGAGATAGTATATAGCCTCTGAAGCCTTAAATATTTAGTATCTGGTATTTTACAGAAAAAGTTTGCTGACCCCCATTTTGCACCACACTGTCGATATAAAATAGCCAGTGGCACTATCCCTATAAAGTTTACTTGATCAAGAGTTTCTCTTTTAGAAATTGATTATGGAGGTCTTCCCCTTTTTTTTGTTTGCAGACTCTACTAGAATTTGAACATGTCTGATTAGACTCTCTCCTAATTGTTTATTGTTCCCTTATGTTTACTTAAATTAAAAATAGCGATAGCTTTGTCTATCATCTGACATTGCTGTGTTACAAATCATCATAGTACTCAGTGGCTTAAACTAATAAGAATATATTACTTCTTGTGACTCAGAGGGTCATCTTCAGGATCAGTTGATTTAATCTGAGCTCAGCTGGGAGTGGCTGTGCTCTATGTATTTCTCATCATCCTTCTGGCATCAGCCGGGGCAAGTCCTTGTTAGGGTGATGGCAGAAGTTTAAGAGAGCAAGTTGAAACACAGCAAGGCCTTTTGATGACTAGGTGGGGACCAGCTATACTGTCTCTTCCAGCTCATTTTTTTGTCAAAGTAAACATATGACTGAACCCCCAAAGAGTGAGGAATGATGCCCTATCCTCAGCAGGAGGACATCGGAAAGTTATGTAGCAAAGGGCATGAAAATTTGGGACTAATCTGTCTGTCATAGTCAGGATATGCTCTGAAACAAGCACTGGGAGCTGGGATACAACTCAAATATTTTAACTCATCCTATTATCACACATATCAAAAATCTTGCCCATAAAGAATCATTCCTTAGAAGTCATTCTGTATGGGTATCTGGAGTGCAATGGCCCTAAATTCCTTCAACTTAGCTAATATGTATTGATTACCTTGTCTGTACCTAACACTATATAAAGTTATGGAGCCTAATGAGCTTTAGGTCTAACAGTGAAAACAGACCATGGACAGATATGCAGAAGATGGCATGATAGTTCCAATAGCTGAAGTTTTTATTGGATATAAAGATAGCAATAGAAGAGAGGTAATCAACTCCACTTTGTGAAAAGACACAAAAAGCTTTATTGAAGAGAGATAAAATTAAATCTTGAAGGATGGACAAGTGCATATTTCCTATAAAACAAGTTCAGATAGAGAAGTACTATTTCTGGGAAATAGTATAGTAATCTGTCAACTCTTAGAAGCTGATTATAATTAAAATCTCTTGTTTGTGTTCAGATAATAGAGAAGCTTCTAAGAGCGAGTAACTTTGTATTTATCTCCTTACGTTATTTATTGCAACAGTGTTCAAACATTGGCATGCTTCGGAATCACCTGGAAGACTTGTTAAAACACAGATTGCTGGATCCTGTCACCAGAGTTTCTTACTCAGTAGGTCAGGAATAGGGCCAAAGATTTTGCATTTCTAATAAGTTCCCAGATAATGCTGGTGATGCTGGTCCAGGGACATCACTTAGGGAACTATAGAGTTTCGAGTCATTTTTATGTATCTGGCACTCTGCAATGTGGTGAGTATAGGAAGATGAAAAGAAAACATCCCTGTTCTCCAATTGCTAATGGTAGGGTGGTGGAGACAGAAGTAAGTGTATAATCACAGTGCAATGGAATGCATACTGGGATACATGGAAATATTGATGCTATAAGAAGACACAAAAGGGGAATTAACTTATTGAATGAGGCCAGAGGCTTCAGGATGTATAAGATACAGATAAAACTTTTTAGTCCTGATCTGAGTTTTTAAAAATTGGAAAATAGTAACAAATAGCATGACCTTGAGTCTTGCTTTGCATGAGACTGGTAAGTGGATTCATCTTTAGTATTGTGGTTAAGAAATTACTGATCAAAAAATTTTAGACAACCTATTGGTTGTATAGGCAGGACAACATAAGTCTGAATTGATTACTTTGCAAATAAAAATATCCCTTTCTTTTGTTAATTCTTCTCATCTTCAGCTATTTTTAAGAAGCTAATTAGAGTAAGATGTCATGTTCATTATCTATGATTCTGTGTTTTCAACAAAAATCTGCTAGAAATTTTACTTATGTCAGAATAAGTAAGGAGCAGGAAAAATCAGAGATGGTGAAGCAGTTCTTTAGGCAGCTTGACCAGTAGCTCCACGTGTTGAGCCAGCAGGTGAACAGGATCAACTATTCATTCCACTTGTAGGCTAGTGCATGACCATGAGACAAAGTGGCAGCTTTGCCTCAAAAACAGAACTGAAGAGGAACGCAGGGATATTAGGTCATAGATCCAGTCAGGGCTGTAGACCGGCTGAGTAAGGGGGTTGGGCAAGACTTGATTAAAAGTACACCTGAAGTGGGCAGCTGGCTTGTCCACTGACTGAACTATATGCCCAGCAAATGAAAGAACATGACAACTGGCTGGGCTAATTTAGAGAAATAGACATGTACTTATGAAGTTGTTTGTCCCGGCATTGAAGACATTCTGCCATTTTAATGAAGCAATCCCAGACTGTCGCCATCTCAACCTAAAGGGGTAACATCCTTAGAGGAATAATGATCTGGGGCTTCTCACTATCTATTTATATTTTGTAATCATATACCTAAAGGTATACAGAACACTTCATTTTAAATAGTTATATTTCCCCTGACAAAGGAAGCTAAAATCAAGTAGAAATTATAAATAGAATGTTCAGAATTTAAAATTGTGCAGTAGAACATTTTTATTATTGAAGTTGAATTATTAATGAAAAGTATTTGTTGTCTTTTTAACTGTCCTATTTAATGTAATTAACAATGAACTCTTGTAACCTTTTTCTTAGCATACATCTGTGGATGGATATACTGAACCACATATCCAGCCTACCAAATCAAGTAGCAGACAGAACATCCCTCGGTGTAGAAACTCCATTACATCAGCAACAGATGAACAGCCTCACATTGGAAATTATCGTTTACAAAAAACAATAGGGAAGGGAAATTTTGCCAAAGTGAAATTGGCAAGACATGTTCTAACTGGTAGAGAGGTAAGTTTTCATGATGCTTGTTAATATTCCCTTGGACCTCTCCAGAGTCTTCTTAAAAAGCTTTCTTATAGCTGACACTGGGAATAAATGATAGTTGCAATATGATAAATGCTGGATGTGTGTGACTGGAACATACATAGACAGAGCTGTATTATGGCACAAGAAGTTGAACTTTTAACATTTAGAAGAGAATCATCGCTCCATATTAGTACCTCTTTTATGGCAGGGGTACTTGCAGAGGAGCTTTTCTCAGACTTCTGTCTTTCATTATAGGGTTTCTGCACACATTTCTAATTACCGTTGCTTCCCAAACCCAGAAACAGAGCTAGGGTGAGTTATGATTAATTACTGCTTAAGGTAAATTGGTATAAATGTGTAGAAAGTCACCCATCAGTTCTTACCTATTTAGAGACCACATTATGTTAGTGTTATTATACAAACATTTTTCTCAGATGATAAGGTAATTTGGTTTCTAAAATCCTATGTCTTTTAAATCGTGTATTTATATAGAAAGATTTATATATTTAACAATAATTATTATTAATAATAATTAACTTACATATTAAAGACTAAAAATAATTAAACATCTAGTACTCTATGTTACATAATATTTACTGGACCCAGTTAGGACATTGTGAAAAATCATAGCATAATGTTTTTAATAAAATTTTTTTACTCTGTGCATAATGTTATTGTCATGTCTAGTTGAATTTAGTCCTCCTTTCATTTGGACTTTAGGAGCTATTCACACAAGAGTTATTCTAGGCAGAGACTCAGAGGACGTGCAGACCCACTTTGTTAGTCTGCTATAAGTAAGCTTGGGTGTCTGATCGAACTACCCATGTACTCATTTTATTCACATGAAGCTTGCTGAAAGTCCCTCCCTGCTGGTAATTCTGACTTATCAAGATCATGAGTAAAAGATTAAGATACAGATGATTTTTACTTTAAAACGGGAAACATGAAAGAAATAACAATGAAAGGTTTAATTTCATTGACCCAGAATCAAATAGGTTAAATACTTGGGTCAGTGGAATATATTCTGAGGCTGCCAAATGATCAAAGTTTTACCATCCAATTATGGGAATACAAAGTACCATTAAGTTGTATTTATTTAGGAATGAAACAAAAGATGTTTTCTTTATAAGTTTTTATTTATTTAAATATGTGTTCTCAAATATAGTTTAATGATTCTTCTTTTTAGGTTGCTGTGAAAATAATAGACAAAACTCAGCTAAATCCTACAAGTCTACAAAAGGTAATTATTTTAATAGTAATTAGAATGTGAATTCATTAGCTAATATATGCTATTCTATAAAGTCAGTTATTCTAAATTTTCCTATTAGGTAAAAGAGTATATTTCATCAATATATGAAGAAAAGACATGATGTAAAACAATATTTATATTTAATATTTTTCAATTTTATTTAGAAAGTGGTTGAAAAATATCTACTCAAATGCATGTACCATATGAAAGGAACTTATGTCTTATAATTCAATAGAATAAAATTTGTATCAAATATTTTGAAATATTCAGGATTCTGCTTCATTAAAAAATTTATTTATGAGTTAATATAGTCCATAGGTAACTTTGCTTTTATTGCTTCACTTGCTTGTCTTCCTTCCTCCATAAGAACTAGTATTTCAACTAATTTATAGTAAAAAATATGAACATGTCTTCAGAGGGTAAAAAATGTAAACAGTTGGGGAAGAAAAAAAGCAGGATGGGGATTGCCCTGGAAAACCTTGTGAAGCTGTTTCATGTTGCTTCCCTAATTACTTATGTGGGAAAATTTCCTCAGATACACATTTTAGTACTTTAAAAATGAAGCAATTATTTTAACATTTATTCCATAAATGTTGTTTGTATATACTGAGATAATATACATTTTGATTTTTATTAGAATATAATGATATCATGGTTGCAGATATGTGACATAAATAACTTAGGATTTCTAAAACAAAATCTTAATTCAAGAAATTTTTAGTATGGTATGTTTAATTATACCTGCGATGACTCTATTAAATTAAAAATTTGGATCTGTGATATCAAGACTTTCCACTTGACTCAGTACCAGATAACTCATTTTATTTTATATACTTCTGGGGATCTTTTAAGCAGCCTAGTAATGTTGGAGAAAAGTAAAACAATAAAGCAATTTCTGTCTTTGTATTTACTGAGATTCCTTTTAAATTTGACAGTCAATATAACTGTCCATTACACTGATACTTCTGATCAGTGAGAACATTAAAGGTTTGCTGAGTTGTTTTCTATGAGTATGAGATAATACACCATATGGATATCTTCTGGAAAAAACTTCGAGCATCAGTCTTTCAAGCTAATCATGATGCAGTTGTATGAGTTTAAAAAAGCATCTTTCCTGGGCAGATGAATTATCCAAAGATGCTATTTTTTTCCTGGGTTGGAGCCATGGGTGGGACAGATTTTTGCCTATCCCTCTGCTAGCAATCCTTTTAAATTGCACAAACTGCCTAACTGTGCCCAGTGGCCTTGTCCATGGCCTACCTGTCTTTTCCACTTTGCCTGGATTAATCTGTGAGTTACTCAGATAAACAGAGTGATTTAAGTGACATTTAGAACTACTGTAAACCTGTTGTACTAGTCAGATATACAGTAATATGATGTCCACTCTGTCTTTCTCAAAGGGGTCCAGAGAAGGTCATGAAACCAAAGCCATGCTTGTTGAAACATGAAAACATGAAGCTGATTGTTACTTTATTTATCTGAATAAGTAAATAATCTACCTTTTGATGACAAGTAATTTATGTTGTAAATTCTGCTAATCTTGCTGATAGAGTGTTGCTTTTTCAAACAGGCATGTAAAGAACAATGGCAATTTTGTTTTCTTTAATGTATGAAAATAAAAGAAAAGATTGAAATTCACTAAATGTAGTCAGTACACTGTGTGTACATTATTGTATTTAAAATAAGTTTCATTAATGTTCATGGATGTGCTTTCTGTTGAAAGTTTTGGGGTAAAAAAAAGATCAAGGTTTGATTAGTTCTCATGCGTTGTAGAACAGTCATCATTTGGCCTTGCCTATGAAATGCCAGTAGCATCTCCTAGACAGTCATATCTAAAAAATAAATAATGAAATGAGGAAGTAGTCCAATTGTTTTCCTTAGCACTGATGGTCAAGTTCTATTGGTAAAAAACAGCAAATATGCTCCCCATGTCATAGGTATGCTTATTAAAAGGTAAATAATGATAGCACATATATTTGAAATAAGAATTCATTTCAATCTCCAAAAGAGTTTGGTTAAATCTTTTTCTTGACTTGAATTTAAGCTGATATTCCTCCTTTATTCTCTTCTGTGTGTAACATATTTATGGGAAATAATATTTTCCTTTGCCAAGATCAGTGATAGATAAAAATAATTAAATTTGATATCCATACTGTTTGAAACTTCTACAATATGAAGTTCTTAAAAACAAGCTTGATCTTTGGAATTGTTTGGCTTTAATATTGTTTACATAATATGCTCGTATTGTTTGTGTTATGTATTTTGAATTAATGGAATCCGATTTCACAAGTTTCCATAGTTCAAAAACTGTTTTAGGTAGATGCTATATTTACTTCCTCTTTGGACCGTAAGTCCCACCGCATAATTTCATGTTTTTTGGAGTAAGGTCTTTGAACTCTACTAGTGTTTCCTGGGGCTCTTTTAGGCAGCCGAGTAATGTTGGAGGAAAAGTAAAACAATGAAGCAATTTTCTTCATAGTTTGCCTTCTTAAAATGTAAGATTAATTACCATTTTCTCAGAAATTCCACTAGGTTTTGAAATTTGGACATTTTAGTTTATACACAGATGAAAAAGTTTGTGTTGGTTTGTCTTAGCTCATAGTCCCCAGGGTGAAATTTATCTTCTGTGTGTTGTTTATTAATTTGCATTTTCCATTGTTTTACTATGTTGTATTATATTCCTAATATACAAAAATAGCTCAGTGGTTCAGAAGGGATTTGCTGAGTAGTAAAAAGTAGAAACAAGACTATTAACAACGCAGAATTATGTCATTAAACGATGAAGAGGAGTGCTGCATTAGAGTTACACAGAATGCAAATCTCTGTGCTAGGACAGCGATTTTAGACAAGCCAAGGGAAGCACAAATAAATTTCAGTAGTTCATATCTGAATATTAGATCTATTAAATGAATAATCCATTTATTACAAGTGTCTGGTGTGTTACTTATTATATATGTATAAGATGTTGTCTTATAAATGACCCAAGCCATTTAAACTTTGGTAAGTTTTCAGATAAAGCCCAGAGTCCTCCTCTCTGGTGAGCTAGTTAAGTTTTCCAGGACATCTGCGAAATAATCTTTATTGTGTTGATGAATTTGGTCACAAAAGGTAGAGAAGTAGACAGAACCATAGAAACAATATTCAGAATTCAGTTTCTTTTAGCAAATTATCAAGAAACCAAACTTGTGAAACCAATCAAAATTGTTGACAAATATTTTGATCAAGGAGAATGCAGAAGAAGCTCTTTGGCAAGATTCCTTAACTAATATTTCTGTTGGACATACATTGAAATATCAATTACTCTCATGTATACATTTTACTTTACAGCTGAACAAAATCACTTATGTGTTGAGTACTTCTTCCTTACAGTTTTTCATGTGTGTGGGTCATTGTAATGAAGTAAAAGTCCTGACCAATTCTTCTGAGCATCAGTGAAAACATCAGTGACAAGTCTGAGCTGGGCTATAGATTGCACAAGTCTGAATTAGTAATAATGACACTACAGGAGGGCCTTTTTTTTTTTTAATTCTGCAAGGAATGGTACTAGCATGTGAATAATTAGAAGATTATCCCCAATGCCCACTCACTCATGACTTCCTTCTCCATGAAGTCAGTGGTCAGCAACACACCTCTGATTGTGATGCAGTTTTGAAAAAAGTACTGAAAACAGGTTATCATAAAATCATGGCTATTAAAACATGTCTCTTTCGTACACAGTGTAAAGAATGGGTGGGCATTCTGTCTTTCGCACCAAAATAATGTATTTACAGGGAGAAGGTGTTCAAACAAGTTTCTTTTAAAAGGTGGTGTCAGTAATGTTAATGTCTAACTAAAGTATTAACAGTTTAAATGTGGATATAACCAGATTTTCTGGAAAAAAACAAAAACAGTGTTTCAAGCATTTCACTGATCAAAAAATGGACTTTTCTAAACCTTTTGGCCCTCTTTAATTCATGGGCAAAGGGCCCAGTGAAATATTATTGGATGTGTTTAACATACAAATGCTACATCAAATATGAAAAATACCTTCCAGAGCAAGCATATCAAAAGAGTATATTAAGAGTCTGTTTGCAGTTATCCCTCAAATTGAAATTTCCAGTCTTCAGCAACTAAGAATCTGAGAGCTGTATGTAATCTTCAGGGGGAAATATCTTTGTAAGGTAATAAGCTGAATGTCTCTGACACATCACCTAATGTGGGTTCTTTCCCCCATTCTGTGATTGTGACTAATTTAGTAGAAATAAAAAGTAAAACAGGGAACATGAGCAACTTCTTCATGAACATATCTCCCCAGACAAGGAAAACAAAAGCAAAAATGAACAAGTGGGACTATATCAAACTAAAAAGCTTCTGTATAGCAAAGGACACCATCAGTAGAACAAAAAGGCATCTTACAGTATGGGAGAATTTCATAAATGACATGTCTGATAAGGGGTTGACATCCAAATTAAATAAAGAGCTCATGCACCTCAACAAACAAAAAGCAAATAAGCCAATTAAAAAATGGGCAGAGGAGCTGAACAGACAGTTCTCCAAAGAAGAAATTCAGATGGCCAATAGGCACATGAAAAGATGCTCCACATTGCTAATCATCAGACAAATGCAAATTAAAACCACAATGAGATATCACCTCACATCAGGTAGGATGGCCAACATCCAAAAGACAAACAACAACAAATGTTGGTGAGGATGTGGAGAAAGGGGAACCCTCCTACACTGCTGGTGAGAATGTAAACTAGCTCAACCTTGTGGAAAGTAGTATGGAGGTTCCTCAAAAAACTAAAAATAGAAATACCATTTGATCCAGGAATTCCACTCCTAGGAATTTACCCTAAGAATGCAGGAGCCCACTTTGAAAAAGACATATGCACCCCTATGTTTATTGCAGCACTGTTTACAATAGCCAAGAAATGGAAGCAACTTAAGTGTCCATCAGTAGATGAATGGATAAAGAAGATGTGGTACATATACACAATGGGATATTATTCAGC